AAAAAAAAAAAAAAAATGTGGCCACATATAAGGGGTGCTGAATTATTTACTCCATAAATTTTTTCACGTTTTTCATATGGAAATTACGAGTATCATTGTTTGACTAACTTCAAAAATCATTGTTTGACTAACTTTTGAGGTGTGAAGGGATATGGTTATTTGGGGAACAAATGTTTTGGAGAAAAAAATTAAAAAAAAAAGGCAAAATGATGTGATAAAAAAATCTATATATATAAGTACTAGCTCATGCATTTAATAAAACATTTAATAAAATTTATTTTTATTTTTCTCTAAAAAGAGTTACATTTTTTTTTTTAATTAATTACTCACTAATCTGCTAAAACCGTTACACTTTAATATATATATATTTCTATTATTTATTTTTTGAATCAGTTACTAAATTAATTCTAAATTTGGTAGCAAAATATTCAAATGTGTAACGACTAATGTTGGAACAAATTGATTGACATATTCAGAACTGTAACCGATATATTTGGTTGCATTGTTGGAAGAAAAATATGACTGTCACATATTTTTTTTTTAAAAATCAGAAACACCAATAATTTTTTTTAATTATGTTATTTTTCTTAATATATGCCACAAATATATAAATTATTTTATTCATGTTACTAATGTAAACGTTGCATGGTTAAATAAAATTTAAATCGCAATTAATTTTGAATGATAAAAATAACTTAATAAAAAGTAATAATTTTTATATGATAGAAGTATATGTCTAATTAATAAATACAAACAAAAACGTGTTTTATATATGTGCAAATGCACAGGATCAAATACTAATATTATATAATGATTAGTAATTGTGAATATGTGAACAAGTTAATAATAAATTTTAAAATATTATTTTTTTTAAAATTAAAGATGAAAAAGAAGAAAAAAATAGAGAATAAATATTATATTTTTTGGTTGAGAAAAAAAAAATAAAAAATAAAACTTTGCTCATACCAACCACACTAAAATTATTGTGATGGGGTGAATAAGTAGGCATCCCCACGGTTCGTTCAAACAGTTGGATGGGCCAGGCCCGAAAGTCAACGCTTTTGGGCCCAGACCAAATCTTTGGTCAAGTGGCCTTGAACGGAGTCGTGATTTTACCAGGCCAGTTAAAGTTCAACTTTTTTTTTACTCGGGAATAAATAGACATGCCCGTGGCTTCTGGTTCCGAATCAGAACTGGCCCAGTGGATAAACCATTCTTTTTTTTTTCTTCAAAACAATAGATGCATTTATTATTTGGCGCGAACGTTTTCGTGATCAGTACTTAAGGATTAAGTATATCTTTTGCTTGAGGGATTTGAATAATTGAAGTCCACGGAACATGGCCGGAGAAACAGTTGGTAAATTCGAGTATAGTAGTGGTTAAGCTATAAGGGAGTTCTAATTGTTGTAAGTCCAAAACTATACACGTGTGTACAATCGAGTTATCAATGAAAGAGCTCTGAGAAATAATGGGACGCTCCCCGAAGAATTTTTATATTTTTTAGTGCTTCCGCTATTTCAACTTTTTTGTTGTTGCAACATTTGTTATTCTAATTCGTGTTCTAACAGAAGTTGAATGCCTTAAAACTCTTTTTTTTTTCGGTGAATGCCTTGAACTCCAAACGTACACTTTTGAGCAAGAGTTGAGTTGGTCCCACCTATTGAATACTAGCAATATCAAGAAAAATTTCATGCTACATGTGGGTGTACTGCCCCCACATGCTTTTTTCACCATTGATTTCACACACACCCATATTGGTGTGTGTAGAGATGTTAAACGGTCTTTGGCCCGACGGGCCAGCCCGTTTAGCCCGAAAAAAAAACAGGGTTAGGGCTTTTTATTGGTAGCCCATTTAAATCAGGGTTTTTTAGGCCCGGACCATTTAAACCGAAACCCGTTAGGGCTAGCCCGAAACCCGCTAGGGCTGACCCGTTTAACTTGAGTTTGGCGTTGTAAATGTTTGCAGCAAGTAAAGTAATATGCTCTTAGATTCATTGTATATTACAATTTTGCTATTTCACTTCACATGTAAGTATGAGTTGTAACGGATTATAATGATTTTTGAAAGATAATTATAATAATATTCTTATAGTACTCCACACCAAAATATTTAAGTCAATCAGAACGACTAATAGGAAACACATGAGACAAAGACCTAACACATGAAACATATTGGTATAATTTATAATGATATAATATCGTAAAAATTTCCAAAGCTTACAAAATAAGTAGTAAAATAGTAATTGTAAGTAGTAATTCAAATATTTTTGTCTTTTGAAAAAAAAAATGTGTGTAGTTGTACATATAGAGCGGTAAAACGGTTGAAAACAATCGCTAATTAATCATTGTAATTTTTATAATTTATTATTATTATTAAAACCCGCATAGCCCGTTTAGCCCGAAGCCCGCTAGGGTTAGGGTTAGGTCCTTTTATTGGTAGCCCGTTTAAATCCGGGCTTTTTAGGCCCAGACCGCTTAGACCGAAGTCCGTTAGAGCTAGCCCGTTTAACATCTCTAGGTGTGTGTGAGTGTGTAGATATCAATGGTCAAAAAGCATGTGGGGCAATGCCAATGAGGACCATTTTTGATCAAAATCAATTCATCTTTACATGAAACTTCTCCGAATATCATCGTTTCCAAATTTGTTGACCATTGTATTTCGCAAATGGAGGCCCAAATAATTAAGAGTGGCCACAGCCGCCCCCCATTTTTTTTTTTTTTTTTTAATTTCTAATTATAATATATATAATTTTAAATTAAATTATATAAAAAATATCAATTTATCCTCAATTGAAGTGTACCGTATTCGATGTTCTTTCACTCGGACCGCCCTAAGGAGTTCAGTCGATGTCGGTGAATTTGTTTGCGCCGGCTAACAAGTAATTCGGCAATTCAGTCAAAACTCGGTTGACCCAGGCATTGACCCTATAGGATCAACCCTGTTTCACTCCGTTATTTTTATTTTCTTTTCTTTTATTTTATTTGTGTTTATTTTTCAAAATATGTTTATTTTAAATATATAAAAGTTATGTGTATATATCTTTGTGGCAAATATTTATAACTTGTAAATTATTAATCTTGGTCCCTTCTAAATTTTTTAATCCATTGCCACCAACAGCATAATTACTTCAACTACAGCATTAGAATATATGTGTGTAACAGAGACATCTCAGCATGCAAAGATATTAAAATTATTCATGTCAGACTCTTGCATTGTTTTGTCTTTCGTTTATTAATTTTGTAATCACACTTGATTTAGGATCACTTATTTAAATTTTCCATACTGTCAAAATTAAATTGTCATTTTCTTCGGTATGTCAATTTATTAAGAACCAACCAACCAAAGGGTAGAGCATATTTAATGATGAAATGCTACGGTCATGTTACGGAACCATTCCGTCGAGGTTTGTAATCGTTAGATCATCATATAATCGTCGGGATAATTGATCTAACGGTTACAAACTCTGACGGAATGGTTCTGTAACGAGACCGTAGCATTTCCCCACATTTTAACTGATTTATACACGATCAAATTTGCATATTGTGGTCATGTAAAACTTATTATACGATGTCATAATTAGAGGAGTAAACACCTCGAACGCGATCAATATTAATGAACCGAGCTCAAGTCCTAATTAACTAAATTATAAAAAATGGTATAAAAATCTTTACTTTTGGAGTCTTAAAGAGCCTGGCGAACGGCTTTTTATTTAATAGCTGTAGTGATCGAGATATTTGCCACCCCTAATAGGAATTGAAATAGTTATAAATACGATAGTTATGTAGATAGATGATATTTTATTTCCCACTAATTTTAAATTATATATATATA